GATTAAAATGATATATAAGAAAACAGAAAATTATATTTAATGCATTATTTCATTTTGAATTTGATGAAAATATTATATTAAATGCAAAAAATATTTTTATAATAATATTAATTAATTATTTTTAATAAATACATATAAACACCCGTTAATCAAATACTGTTTTGGCTAAAAAATAAAAACCCTTTTATTTTTTCTAGGTAAAATCTTAATGATCAAAATCAGATCATTAGATCAAATAATGAACCGTTTAAGATGTCGCGTCACTAGATTATTAGTTCAATCTTTAGATCAATTGGATCAATTGTTAAACCAATAAAAATATTTTAAAAAATATTAATATTTTAAAATTTTAATTCATTATGAGAAATAATAAAATTTTATTATAGATAATTTCATATTTAAAAAATTAATTTATATAACACAATATATTAAGTGTGAAAAAAGTATATGTTTAAAAATATATAATAAATTTAAATTACAAAAATAAATTTAAAATTCAAAATCCTAACTTCTAACTCAAACTCTCAAAATAGTAATAAAATAATTCAACTATATTAATTTAAAATACCAAACAAAAGTAAATACCTAAAAACCTTTAAAAATTCTAAAAAAAATAGAGAAAATTCATGAAAAATAAAAAATAAAAACCTTCAAAATGATGATATTTGATATGAAACCAATTAAGCTCAAAATTGATGGATAAAGCTTTAATTTTAACTAACCAATTTGATGCGAGTGTTATCTTAAAATAGAAATGAGAAATGGATATTTTTTTAAAAAAATTAGAAATGAGAAATTGGTTATGTTTTTTTAAATTGATTCTTTAGGGTGCGTTGCATAAAGGGCAAGAGAGAACAACATCATTTATTTAAATTTAAATTTAAATTTTTTGATTTTATATTTTATTTTAATTAAATATTTATATTGAAAAAGTCAATACATATACCAAAATACATGTCATAAAAGAAATGCTAGAAGAGAATGTTATCCACCAACCTCTAACAGTAACGGGGCGTTTGGTTGAAATTTTTTTTCTATCTTGAATCACTTTCTTTTTTAGAATCTAATTTTTTATTATCCCATTTTTTAGTTTGGTTCAAAAACTTTCTCCCATATCAATAATGGTACAATTCTAATAGTATCAAAAGCTGAGAAAGTAGAGGAAACAAAAAATTCTCATTTTTTGAAATTTTTTTTTAAATTCTAAAAATAAAGTGAAATTTTTGTTCAATTTACTATCACTTAGTTATATTTTCGGATTATATAAATATTATTATTTATCTTATGAATGTAGTAATTTTATAATTTTACCTTTTATTTAATTTTTAAAATTCAACAAAAACGATATTTTTAAGATAAAATAAGGTATTTGTTAAAAATATGAAAAAAATTTATTTTTTAGAATTTAAAAATAAAATTTTTTAAGATAAAAAACGTGATATTTGTTGAAAATATAAAAATATATTTTTTAAAAATTCAATAAAAATTATATTTTTAAGATAAAAAAGCTATTTTTGTTGAAAATATACAAAAATTTATATTATGATAAAATTTTGTTATTACATATAAAATTTATTATTATATATATTATATGATTAATGAAACCTAAAATACTTTTCCTTAAATAATTTACATATTAAATAAATTACTTATTTATTCACGTGTCATCAAAGATAATATAATAAAATATTTATTAGATAATTTTATATTTTTGTAATTAAATACAAAAATTTTACGTTATATAAGATTAACAAAATCTAAAATTCATATATTTTCCTTCAATGCCACTTTCTCCGAAATTATTTTCTTTCCTAAAATCTATGAATCCGAAACCAAACACTCCCTAAAAATTTTCTTTTTCACTTTTTTTGGGCATATGCGATGGAACGTGAGAGGACCTAAATTCCATAAGTTAACAATCATATCTCTAATTTCATCATAAAAAAAATCATATCTCTTTGATGGCAAAAAAAAAAAATCATATCTCTTTACCTCCTCATACCTCTAAAGAAAGTGTGAAGGATTAGAAATATATAATGATGTTGTTTAATTTACATCCTTTACTAAGGACGGCAATCCAACTTGTCTCCAACGGGTTTTGACTCGACTTTATGGGATCGATTTTTTTTTTTTTAATTTGAGTTTTGGGTCGGGTCTGATCGAGTAAGGTTATGAAATAATTAGGGTCGGATCGGATTCGAGTTTTAAACAAACCCGACCCGATCTGATATTATATAAAATTATTTTTTAATTAATTATTTAATTTTTTATTTATATATATTTATATAATAATATTTTTTAATATTTATATTTAAAAAATAATATTTTATATTTAAAAAATATTTTATTAATTTCGGATTAGATCAGGTACAGTTTGTATAGTATCGAGTCAAGATCGGGTTCGAGTATGAAAAAACAAAAAAAATTTCGGATAAGATCGGGTTCAGGTTTAATAATGCATAAAATCGGTCGGATTCGGGGCGAGCAAAACCTACCCTGAACTCGACCCGATGCCAACCCTATCCTTTAAACCCGCCTCGAACCCGACCTGATGACAACCCTATCCTTTACTTCATTTTACAATAATATATTTTAAAGTTGTATAAAAAGTAAAGTCTTTATTTTCATATAGTATTAGCAATTAAGCTTTATATTTTAAAAAAATTCTAACATTCTTTATTATCCAAGTAGCATTATTAAAATCAACCATATCGTATATTCTATTGATATAATATTAAAATTTTAATTGAATTATCATAATTCAATCATTAAAAACCTCAAATACAAAAAAAAAAAAAAATCTTAAATACTCTATCCTTAATAGCATCTCAATATATTTCTATCTTATATTTATAGTGTTATTTAATAATTTACTAACTTTTTTTTTATCTCATCTTTTATTTTATTATATTTTGAACTAGTCTAAAGAGTATTGTTCCTATTGAATGTATCATATTTTAATTAGGCTGAATACACCATAGTGTTGATAGGGCAACTTTTTTGGCAAATTCCCCGTTGTCAAAAAGCAACATCACATTCCATGCGAGTATGCTTTATGGTATAGTATCTTCTCTATTAAAATGCAACATTTTCCTCTTTAAAAGGGTCAAAAAAGAAAACCTAAGCTAATTCTTCTATAGGCAAAAAAGTAGTTATAGTGCACAAAAAAAAAAAAAGTAGTTATATATCAGATGGCTTTAATCATCTCTTTCAGCCTAACCAAGGAATTCCCAGCAGCAGACTAAACATTGTCCCTTTGAGCAGTTTGATTATGTAAAAAAAACACTTTGCCATATCCAAAATTTCTACCATGCATATTTAAAAGAAAAGCAACCAATCTTTTTTATATGATTTTTGGAATAAAATGACATTCCTTATAAAGTTTTCAAAACAAAAAATTTTTAAATTTAGATTTAAATTTCTTTTGTTACATAAAATTTTATTAATAAGTTGCGTTAACTTTCTAATTAGAATATCAGAATAATTTAAAGGTTTAATTCAGTTGGTTAAAAAAGTGAATTTTTTACACTAAAAAAATTAAAACTTTGGAAATTTAGGATTAAAGTGGTTTATCAATAAGACGTCAACCTAAAACCACGGTGGAATGGTTTGATCCTTTTATATTATATGTCATAGATTTCTTTCCCGATGGTCAGTCCAATCTTTTAAAAGGAAAATTTAATAATAAAAATAAGATCATTTAAATTAAAATTTATAAAAAAATTACTAATAATATTTTAATTAATCACTTCTAATATTTTTAAAATTAAAATTTTATTAAGGGTTTAATCAATCACTTGTAGCATTTTTTTAGTCTAATTATAAAAAAAAAAGTCTAATAATAAAAAAATTCATTTAAATTAAATTTTATAAAAAAATTTATTAAAGATATTTTGTCAATTACTTTTAACATTTTTAAAATTAAAATTTTAAGTAGTTTAATTTTTCATAAATTCTATTTTTGATTATAGTTTATTTAAATTAACTTAAATAAAATAATAAAAATTATATATTTAAAGATAAATTTGTTAATTTAAAAATTTATAAGAATATTTAGATCAATTACTATTAATAATTTTGAAATTCATATTTTTATATATAGATGATATGATAGATTTCTTTCCTGGTGGTCAGTCCACCCTTTTAAAAGGTAAAGTTAATTTAAAAAAAAAAAAAAGCCAAGAATAATAGCGTATGATATCTTTCATTGATCATGCCCAATGCTAGATGGAAATTCCCTAACAATTTAATGACTTCTAACTCAAGTAAATTATATTAATTTAGTGACTGTAGATGATCATTATTATAAACCATTCTCAAGCTTATAAAAGGAGTTATCTTTAATTTGGAATAATTTTTCTATCCTATTTTATTCTATTTCATAAACCAATTGCAATCTGTTCTTTTATGTAGCACGTTCATGAAAAGTTTCTTTTCAAATGTTTCTATGCGTAAAGGATTAGACTTGATAATTTTGGATACAACAAGAAAATATAATATGAAAAAAAAAAAGAAAAAGACAGGTTAATAATTTGCCAGAAACTTATATAGATTCGGGAAGCTCAAAAATGTATTTTATATTTAAATGTGTCAATATAAATTATAATATAATATTTTTTATATTATATATATATATATTTAACATAAACAATTATGATATAAATACACGAATTATCACGTCCTCCAACTACTGCAGAGCACGCATACAGCCAAAAGGTTGCGACTTAAAAGGATTTTGGCTTCTCCACTTTCACGGCTGAATTCACATTCCCTTCACACTATATACAAAATTTAAAGTCTTTGTGTTACATAGAATCTAACCGTATGAAAGGTAGATATAGTAAAACATTTTTTTGGCCTATCTCAGCTTTTGGCTTGATGTGTTCTTTGTCCAACCTCTTGTCCCATGAATGACAAAAAAAAAAAAGTAAAAGGGAAAGGCTAGATGTAAACAGGAACAGTGTTTTTCAACTCTTATAAAGAAGCTAAAAAACCTCAAAGGCTTAGAAACCGCCACATTTCACAACTTGTCACTCTGATTTAGACCTTGGCAAAGCAATGGAAGACCAATGCAGTCCACTCAGCTGGGGATATTTCTATCAGGAAGAGGTGAGGGACTCTTTTAAGATCTTTAGACCTGCTTGCTCTCAATGGGGTCTGAAATTGTTTTTCTTGTTTTAGTACTGTACATTGTGGATTTAAGCAAAGTTTTTATTTATTTATTTGGCATCAGAGATTGCCAAGATTTGAACTCTGATCACTCAAACTGTTTTCTGCAATTGACAGGGAATGGAAGAGTTAAAGCATACCCTCTTGTTTAAAACATTGGAGCTAGAGACAACATTAATATCAGCTAAGGAGGAGATTACAAGAAGAGAGTTTGAATTGATTCATCTCAAAGATGTGTTAAGCAGAACAAAGAAAGAGAGAGATGAAGCTCGTGCTAGATGCCAGAAGCTGGTGTTGGAGAAATTCATACTTGAGCAACAATTACAACAGAAAGAGCAACAACAGCAGAAGCAGCAGCAACAAAAAGTGCAAGAACAGCAGCAAGAAACTGCTTCACTTTCTGGGGTTTCTAGCAGTGAAGATGAATCTAAACCTGGTGACTCCAACAAGCATATTTCCAGTCCTGATAGCAATAGAAGTATGATTTCATCTCCGGGTTTAGACTCAGTTTCCCCCACGGTGAATCTGCCATTACAACCACAACCATCACTTCCACAAGAGGCCTTGAAACTAGCAGCTAACAGGCCACTTCCTGAGAAAGGAAAGCTGCTGCAGGCAGTGAAGGATGCTGGTCCACTTTTGCAAAACCTTATCTTGGCAGGACCGCTTCCTCAATGGCAGCATCCACCTCCCCAACTTACCTCCATCGACATTCCTCCAGTAGCCATCTCTTCCCCTTCTCAGCAACTCATAAACCAAGACTCTTTCAACAATTTTACTGGTTGTTTAAGCAAGAAGAGGGGTCCAGAGAACTACGAAGGCTCTGATTCTTCTCCTAACACCAAGTACCAGAAGGTTGTTCTCCACTGAACAATACGAATCGCATCCCTTAATTCTCTAATATGCCATTCTTTTCATGCTGCTAACACAAGAAGAGTAAATCGGCATGAATCGGGTGGCCATTTATGTGCCAATTCAGAATTTTGTACACTAGTTTAATTTTGCTTAGGAATCCAATATCTTGACTACCCTCCAATGTTGGATGGAGACTTAAAATGTCTTTAATTTATGCATCACTTTTCTAATTATGTATATGAATGGAATCCGAAATGAAGTTCCAAAATTTCCAGATTATAGTAGGGAACCTTTTATGAAATTTCTGATGTAGCCAAAATTTGAGAAGATTTGTATGTTACAATTAAATTAATGTTTTGCCTTGTGCTTTTTTCATTCTTTTTAGGAGGCCGTAATCCGGGGTTAAGGGGAAGGAGTTACAAATACTGAAATTTAAATTCTAAATCTGGTGGATACCATTTCTTAATAGTAGCTGCATAAACTAATCATGTAAACTTTGGGTTCGCATTCCTTTCTCTTTGCTTTTGCCCATGGTTATAGTATCAAAGTTGGTTAATGATGAAAAGTATGAACAGACAAAGCAATGATAGATCTCCAGACCTTTTCTCATTCCATGAAGCACACCTACCATCCATGGTGAATGTCTGCCATTAAAAGCGCAACTAATCAGATTTCACTATCATGACTAATGCACATATATGAACTCCCATAAAGCATATTCAGTGCCAATTTATCAAAAACTAGTTTGAAAACGTAGACAAAAACCCTTCAAAAATAATGGTTTGCTTCACATGGAGGGGTCAAGGTCATTGTTTGCTTTAAGACCAATTGATGCAGCAATTCCATCAAAGTGTATAGGAACTAAATTAAAGATGTTTACTCATTCAATGAGAGATTTAGCCATAATCATGCAGGGCACATGCTGGTTTGCGCAAGATTCACCGGTAATAGGTCCCACACGTTTTTCAGGGTCTACCAATGTATCAGACTCCTGGATTGGCCCCATTTCACTGGAAAATATTTATTTTTATGGTCTAAAAGAGAATAATAAAATGACAGTGATTGCAATTCGTGTGTATCAAGTGTCTTCTGTTACCAGACCAACTGTTTCTTTAACCATATATTTAGCTTGTGATTTTGGATTGGAACTAAATAAAAGAAACCCAGTCTAAAACTGCAGGGGAACTTACAGGGATGTTGCCAGAGTAGAGGAGGTAAAAAAGGTGGGCTAGGCTGATCCGGCAAGGTATGGTTTCTGGTACGATACTGTAGTGTGTCGGGTTGATCCAGTGCAATTAAAATAAGAGCCAAGTTAGATGGATGGCCCAACAGGGCCTGGAACCCAAGATCTTCAAGGTTGGTTTATGCCTAACCTAGCGCGATGGCTTGTTATTGGGCCATTTGTTGTGGTTCTTTTGTAGTGAGATTTTGGGCCAATTTGTTGAAAGTATAAAAAAAAAAAATTGTTAAGAAATGAGTCAAATCATTAAAAACGTAAAAAATTTTCAAATTACAATATTTGTTGTGATCTTTATACCAACTTACACACAATATGAATTTAGTCGTGCTGACAAGATAGGCCATGGTATCATGATTTGATACGACCCATAATAAAAATTATGCAAGCATGGGTTTTAATTATAAACAAATTTAATAATTTAAAATATGATATAATAATATAATATAATAAAAAAAATAATATAATTTAAAATTTTAATAAATTTATATGCAAGTTTAACAAAATAAAAAAAATATTTTATATTTTTGTAATGATACAAATTATGATATTATTTTTATATAAAATATGATAAAAATATATAAATTTTAATATATAATTTTTATATAAAAAATTATATAAATATATGAATTATTAATATTTTATATAATACAAAACATGATTTATCAAATCTAATTAAAAAGTTATAGACCGTATTGGGTTGTGTAAGACCTCGTATTGTTCATGCATTTTGCCACCTCTATGCTAAAGGTGTGCCTAGGTTTAGATCGAATCACTTAGGATAAGATTATTTTCAAATTTTTTTATTTTGAGTTTCAATCATTTAATTTTTATATGATTTTTTATTTGAACTATTCAGGGTTGACACTAAATTATTTGAATTTTGATCGAATTCGAGTCATTATCTTTTAAAGTCAAACCAAATTGAATCTTGAATGAATGATTTAAATTAAGTTAGAATATCTCAAATTTTATCAGTTGTAATTAAGTTATTCAAAATTATATTTTTATTAACTTGTAACATATATTCAATTTTGATTTTTGATATTATAAAAATTTTTATTTATCATATATTGTAAAAAATACTTTATTTGTCGTGTATAGTTGTATAAATTGAACTTAATTGCAATAGAAACTTTTATTTTTAATTCTTTTTAAGTGTAATTAAAAAATACTTATAACTAAGAAAGATTATTTTAATAGATTTATAAAAATATATATAAAAAAAAGTTTACAAAATATCAGCTCTGTATGCAACATTAAATGACTGGAAATGAGTATAATTGTAGTATAATTGTAAACTCAAAGTAAGTTAGGGACCAATTGGTAACAAAGAGCCCAAAAAAGGATGGAAAATTTATGGGCTTGTTGCTTGGGTTATAATTTTTGGGAGCAGAAAAAATTTTTCATCACCAGATGAAAGGGTTAATGATCGCTTGGGCCTACTTCTAAACCGTCAAATGACCGGAAATGAACAGTTTTGGTAAATTTTGTTGTTATGATCCCACACTTAACAAAGAGTACAGTTAACAGCTTAAAATTACAGACCGACCAGGCAATTTAAGTATATTATTAAAAAATATATATAATTTTTTATATTTTTACTTCCTTCCCAATAAAATTGTCACGTGATGACATTTTGTTTTGATCTCTTTTTATTTTATATTTATAATTGATAAAAAATATGAAAAAATGTTTTCTAAAAACTTTAAAAGAAGTATTTCTAAGATAAATATTTTGTAAAATTTAATACATTAAAATATTTAAAATAATAAAATCAAAGTTGAAAATTTTTAATCAAAATGAAGTTAGAAAGTGACAATTTTATTGGAAGAAAAGGAGAAATATTTTAATATTTTAAAAATATATTTAGAATTAAAATCATATATAACATTATATTATAATATGCATAAAAATCTGATAAAATCTATTTATGTGAACATTGAGGTGGATAATTTCTTTGAATGACATATAGAATAATAATAAATAATTATATTAAATATTATCAAAATAATCAGATATCAAAATTTTTTAAATTAAATCATTAAAAAATAATAATTATTCAAATATTAATTTAAAAAATAAAAGGATAAATAATTATTTACTTTATTTAGTATTATTTAAATCCATTTAAAATATTCAAATTCATTTAAATTGATAAGTGTATGCATGAATTACTATTTAAAAATTTTGATATAAGGACTTAAAAATATCTATTTTAATACATTTTTTAAATCTCCAAGTAAATAAATGGATAAAAACATATTTAATTATTTATATTTTAAAATACTTGATGTAGAATTGAAAATATAATAGGTTTTTACTATTTTATTTCATCCAAAACTTTTTTCTTTACTCCTTCCATTCCATATTTCTTCAAATTCTTCATCTAAAAGTATTTTTTTCATTTATGTTTTTTTTTAAAACTCTATTTCCTCTCTTAAATTTTCCTATTCTTAGTTTCTTTTTCTTTTTACAATGATTTACACAATCAATAAAATAAAAAAATGATCTTTTTAGAGAAAAAAAAGAATTTTTTTCTGAGGTATGTGATTTATTTTTAAAAAAGTTTTTATGTCTTAATTTTCATGTAATTTTTTGTTTATATATATATATATATTAATTCTATTGCTCATACTCTAAATTCTATTCTATTACGGTGATAAAAAATTTAAATTAAAATTTTCTAATGATTTTCCTTTTTTTTTTTTTGTAATGAATAGAACTTTCTGGGTGTATGTAAATATAGAGAAAATAAATATTTAGGAAATTGAGGAATGATTTAAAATATGATGAATTTTTTGGGTTTGACTTTCTAAATCATATTTTTATCTTTAACTTCAAAATTCTCTATTTTTTTACCAGCTTCATTATTAAATTTTAGTTACACTTTATCTTAATTATCAATTTTTCTTATAATTTCCTAGAATCTATAATTATTTACTGCATTTAGATTTTATGTAAACTTTTTTATATATAGCAATTTTCTCTTTTTTATCAATTAAGCAATCAAATTTATGACATGAATTTAATTAAATATTTAATTTCTTAAATACTTACTAATATACTTTTCCAAATTAAGATAGAGATCAAAAAGTTATTTGAAAATTTTTTTGATAAATTATAATTTTATTTTGAAATTTTATACTTTCAATTTATGAAAATAAAAAATCAAATCAAGGAGTTTAACATTAAATATATAAATTTAATAAAAAAATAAAAAGAGAGAAGATACAAATATTTAGTGATAAAAATAAAACTTTGAATCTGCAAAATTCTATTGTGATTTTTTATTAACTAAATTAAATATTATTATAAATATAATAATCACAATGCACGGGTAAAAAACTAGCATGTAAGAAAAAGGAGAAATATTTTAATGTTTTTAAACATATATTTAGAATTAAAAAAATATATATATATATATATATATATATATATATATATTTTGCCTATCCTTTTATTTCTCTCTAGCCATATACACAATGCAATGGAGTGTATATAGATGACATTGTACAGAAACATTAGCAAAAGCTATTCAACTACCACATAACGATGTATTTATTATTGTATTTGCAACATATAAAAAAAAAAAAAAAACTAACACATAATCTTCATTTTGGACGACGATGACGACAACAACAACTACAACATAATCCTTTTATTTCTCTCCAACCATATATGGCATGGATAGCAGCATTCCAAGAAGACTGAAGCATTAATCTTCTTTCTAGTCACAATCGAAGTGGGCTATAAAATTGCATGTAACACATTCAAGAGATAGATCTTGGCAAGGTTTTCCACGGCGAACATATTCAGGATATTAGTAAATTTTCTGGACGGAAGTCAGGGGGTGTGGGTGAGTTGGATATTTTTCAAGAACACACTTAGGGTGAGCAGAATTATCATAAATTGAGCAATAGTAAAGCCAAAGATTTGGATCTCTTTCTTCTTCACAAATATCACAGTAACATTGCTCTGGGTCATCATTTTCATCATGATAACTAAGTTTTAGTAAGTGTTTATGATACTTATGTCTCACTGCATGTAGAAGTGTAATGCATTCTAAATGCAAAGCATAATTGCATTTCTTAGTACACCTGTATGCTCATTCAATCTTAAAACCGTTGCATATGTGATGACGAAGGTTACACTTGAAACTAGCATCTGATTTAAGGGTGTAGAGGTATTTATGAAACCAAAAATTTGTCTCCCTTGGTAATTCAGCACAAGACTTGTGGAGAAGGAAATCGCATTCCGAACAATAGTAAAACGGTGCTGAGATGAATAGCGTACACCTGTCACAATGTTTATCATCATGTTTATTGATCTTGTCTCCTAAAATTAAGCAGTGGTCATGGCTGCAATGTTTTACCTCTACTGCTCCACGTTCATTCACTTCCATGATACAAGTGATGGAAGGCTCCACAATTTCACTAGCCTCATCCAGATTTTCAAGATCAATTATGGAGTACATCCATTTTTATTCAAGAGCACAACCCACATGGGCAATTTAATTGCAATCATCCTTCGAACAATAATAGCTACCATGCTTTGTTTTCGCTTCTTCATAACAAATTCTCCAATCCGGCTTTTCAAGACCTTTTATTGGACGTAGTACTTATGAAAAATAGGATGCTGGTGCCGTGTGAGTTTGATGATGTGAGGTAATGAGATACGTTTTGCATGGACTTGGAGGTTGCAAATAAAACATACGTAGGAAACATATTTCCCCTCTGTACCACATGCATCACAAATAAATGAATCTTTTCTCCAAAACAAGTTGAATGGGTGCCCATGATCAGCTTTATTTTCAATGATAAGGTTTGTGGAAACACAACCAATGTGAATGTCAACATTGC